ACTTTCATAAGATACTGACTGAAATGCCACTTAGATCTAGCATATAATTTGGAATGTGATCTTCCGAACAATAATCTTGTTCATACAACCCTTTCTAGCTCAAAACAACAGGCAACAAAAAACTCATTGCTGCTACATAGCTATGGCAGAGCATAATAGCAGATCATGGCACTTCAAGATAAATCCATAATAGGTTTTCTAACCTTTAATGGTCTTAATAAGAAAACATTTGAAACTATCCGTATCTCCACCACAGCACTTGAGTCAATATAATAATGGTGCCAATCATTTGTTGAATTGTACAGAGAGAAGCTCTGTCTTGTGTTCCAAATTGATGGGTTAGGGGAGCCCGCAGGACCCTTCATTTTCTCCTCAATAGTAAAAAAAAAAGTTTTTTTCCAGTAGCCTGCAGTCATCTGAAGGAGGACTTGTTGTCCTTCAACTGTTATTCTTTGGTTGCCCCATATTTTCCATGATGAGTCCCTTCAAACCATCTTGGCTTCTGAAGCATTTATTTCCAAGCACTTTCATTGGGGGCATGGTTTAATCATTTGACTCAATCCCGGTGACATCAGGTGGTCCAACGGAAACAGGCTGGAACCAAACCCTGTTGCACACTGCACCAGTTGCTTAAGAATTTAATTGATAAACCATTAGTCAAGCTGTTCATTCTGACATTTAGGAGAAATTTATTCTCGTCTTTACCCAGAAGCAAATAGTTTGGCTACAATCAAACTATAATGGAAAAGATGAAAGAATCATACCGTGTCACATACACTGTAGCTTTTATTCAATCACAGAGGTTGTGCTCATTAACAAATATAAATTAGTAAGACATTTTCTCAATCATTCACAACCTGAGGAGGAGAAGAAGAAGAAGAAGAAAGAAAACGGGACTTCCTCATCGTGAGAATCATGGACCTTGCTTTCATCAGTCATGGCATCCTGCTTTTAAGTATTAATTTCAAGTGTAAATAACATGAATTAGATTTCACTGCAGGCTTACCAGGTAAAATAAGGACTCAATGGCTAGGTTTATACAATGCCGTACACTCTGAATCTGGATTAGCAGAATATAAATGTAGTCATATCAACTGAAAACTATCCAGCCCCATTTTATTTAGCATGTAACACAAAGCTGGTGGGTACCTATCAACTCAGCAATAACAATACAATGAATTAAATTAAGATTACCATGTGCTATGACTAGAACAATGTTAATGCTAAATCTCAACCTAGTAATTTGAATGTCGTTTTTAGCTTAACACAAATTTTGCATTTGGGTTAGTACAATTAACGGTGGACCTACACCCTAATTATTTTTGTAGATAGAAAACATTACCAGTTTGAAGAGTTTCACGCTTACCGGGGGGGGGGAGTGCTTCTGTCCTGTAAAATTACCCAGTCTGGCCAACCGATCTGTCTAAGCATTTGTCACAATGCATCTCAACATTTATACAGAAGGCCAAGCTTTTATAATAGCGTTTGATTTAGCGATTTTACAATTATAGAAGCATTTTTGTGACACTTAAAGTATCAGGCAGAATGAAGAACAGAACAAAACCACAAGTTTGTTTGCTCTCACCGGAGGGAGGAGGACACAGAAAGCTAAAGAAAAGCAGATTCTATTTGAATGTAAGGAAATGGCTTCCTAACAGTGAGATGAATTTTATAGCACGTACCAATTACTTAGGTAACAATAGCTAAACATTTCTCCAAAGGCATCAAACTGTTGGCTGGAGAACTATCAGGAATTTTTTAATCTGGATTACTATACAGGTAGTCCCTGACTTATGAACACAATAGAGCCCAAAATTTCTGTTGTTAAGTGAGACATTTGTTAAGTAAGTTGAGGACTACCTGTATAGATTTAGGCATAATCAGGATAGCCTCAATGACCCCTTCTGAACTCCATGATTCTATGAAAATGCAGACTTTTCAAGATAGTAAGAATTTGCAAGTACCCCTCTCAACTCCTTTATGCACACTTTTATTTGGGATGGAATCCCCACCATCCAGTCAGAGCTGAAGAAGCTTCTGGGATGAGAAGCAAAATGTGTTCAAAGAAAAACAAGAAAGTCCAGTTGCCTCTTGAAAAAGCACCTTTGGGCTAAACCAAACATATTGTACATCTAGAAGGTAGATAAATCTATTGAAAGGTGAGTATAATGTTTTGAGTAGTAGAGTATTTTAAATCATGACATTTTATTTTTGAAATATTTCTATCATTCTCTGCAAAATTAATGTAAATAAAGGATTACTACTGAGTCGCAAAAATGTTAGGTAGATTGACAATCTTTAAATAACTAATAGATCAGGCATAACTTGAATTCACTTGAGTGGACAATCATTAATATTGAAAGAAAAATACACAGCATGGATGGGATGTACACTTAAAACATAAGAGAAAGGGAAATAATTAAGAAACCTTGTTAAAAAATATGAAATCACAAGCCATTACATTCAGTCCTATATTTAAATTTAATTCAAGCTGGATGGTGATGCAACTGGAAGACTAGATAGGGAGATTTGATTGAGCAAATAAATTATATACCAACATAACCCCAACTTTTATTAGATTAAATCTTCCCAAATTTCACACAATGAGATGTATACAGCTTATGTATTCTCTCCCAGTACGAAACTCTTTTTGTGCTAGATTCAGAGAATATAGTAACATACATAAGGAAGTCAAGCTAAAAGTTTACTACCACCAATTTTTGCTATAGAAAAAGACACAAATGGTATTTATATTACCATGAATTTCTTCAGCGAGAATAAAAAGCATAAGTGAAATCCTCTACATTAATTATTGATTTGTTAGATTTCCTATCTTTCTTCCAAATGTTCAAAATTGCTTCCATGGGAATTCATTTCATCCCAAAAACAACTGTAAGGCACATCTGGTTGAGACAGAAAAACTCAGCCTGTCACGCTAAAGTCACCCTAAAGTTTTAAGGGATAAGGATGGATGTGAACCTATCAAACATTCGGATGCAGTCTTTGATATTTTCCCAGGGTGTATTTTTCTACTCATATAGTTTTAATTTGTTTTAGTTAACTGAGAAGCAAGAGAATTTGGAGAACCATAAATGTACACCCATTAAAATTTTAAATAAATTAATTGTAACATCAATATTTAGTTCTGTTTTTTTCTCTCTGCCTGTTATTGTTTCTCTTTTCATTGTTTCTCTTTTGAGGCAAGTTCCATGCCTCAAATTTTCAAATTTTATGGAATTTCCAGGTAGGTGATATTTTTGAAATGCTAACAGCACTTAATGTACCGTAAAAGAGAAACTTGAGACAGTATCAGATCTGAAATTTCAAACATTATATTGGAGAAAAAGAACTCCTTTCCATGCTGATTTTTACTTATCAGGTCATCTATTTTTCTTTCCTCTGAACTTTCAGTGCTCTGTTTATTTTGGTGGGTTTAAAAAAAAAATTATTCATCACTTCTTAAATAAACATCAACTCATAGTATTATTTAATAAGTAGCTGCAGAACTCAGTTGTTGGTCAGTCATATTTCTACAGTAACACTCACACACACACACACACACAGAATTAAGTCTCTGTGTGTGCATATTGCCCTTTGTGTTAGTTGTGTCAGATGCTTGGGAATCTTTTCTTTCCCCACCTCTGTGGCTCTAATACAGGGGTCTTCAAACTTGGCCCTTTTATGACTTGTGGACTTCAACTCCCAGAATTCCTCAGCCAGGCACGCTGGCTGAGGAATTCTGGGAGTTGAAGTCCACAACCCATAAGAGGGCCACGTTTGAAGACCCCTGCTCTAATACAACTGGCTGTTATTCTCTGTTGATTGACAGGGGCTCCCTTTGGAACCTTGATTGTGGCTGCTCCTGAGTGGTTGCTTTATGCTATTCTCCCAAAGAATGGCTGCTCCATGTCCTATAAAGAAAGTAACGCTAGATGGCGTACCTATCAGACTTTTCCATACTTCTGAAGGCTTCCACAGAGCTTAATAGTTATTGGTAGAATAACAGCTGCAGGTTGTTCAAAATTAGAAATATAGGTACAATGTACACAGATTATTGGAGAATAAATAACAAAAACATAGGAAGCCATTCCACTACTGTCAGCATCGTTTGAGAAAGGTTCTTCAAGGTTTCTAACGAGAGGTTCTCCACATTCACCTTGAATGAGGCTGTGACATTGTACTTGCAATGAAAAATCCTTTACCACTCAATTTCCAAATCTATTAAGGCAGGAGTCTTCAAACTTGGCCCTTTTATGACTTGTGGACTTCAACTCCCAGAATTCCTCAGCCAGGCGAGGAATTCTGGGAGTTGAAGTCCACAAGTCATAAAAGGGCCAAGTTTGAAGACCCCTGTATTAAGGGCTACTAAATAAGCTACCTTTAACTGCCATGTAGGGAGTGTCAAAACTTTCCCAGACGTCTTCTCTGTATTTTATTGCTTCTTGCATGTCCCTATTGTGCCAACTGTAGCTTAGCAGCTAAAGATGGCAGGCCTTCCCCACAGATTTTTTTTTATGGATATGGCAGCTGAGCATGCAGAAAACAACATAAGAATTCACTAAATGCAAGTGCTTCTTCCACTACTGTAATTTATCACCCTACTTTTGCAGTGCTGTTCTGAAGGACATTGTAGTTAAAAGGGTCCTGTAAGATTTGGTTTAGAAATAAGCTAACTACTCTTAATTCTCCACTATTATTTCAACGAATGCAACGTTAGTTTTTCCTAATCAAGACAAATTTCTCATAAACCCGAGTAGGTGAATGAGAAAAAGTAGCTGAAAAATATATTATCAGAGGATGACAAGATGCTTCTTTGTGATGTCACTGCTGCCATAGAAACTATGTGTGCACACAAGTGAAAATGACATCTGGCAGCAGAAGAGCATGGAAAGTTGAGAGAGGAGGCAACATCTTCGGTCTGGCAGGGTCATCAACGCAGTTCAGCTGATAAGGAACAACCTTACAGTCTTAGGTACATTTCCACTTCCAAGCCTCAGAAGATGTCTCAGGAAGTTGATTGGTTACACAGCCAAGCAGGTGTGTGTAAGGTAGACCTCTATAATCCTGGAGGAGGAAAGGACCAGGAACGCAAAGTGATTTGTTTTGTCGATGTTTCCAGTCTGAACATTAAGCAAACAGATGATACAGATAAAGATGCTGCTGGCCAGTCTAAAAGCAGTGAATCTGCCACAGGGCTTGATCTGGGGAAAATGCAGGACAAAGAGGTCATCGTAATAAAAGACAGTGACACGCCAGAACAGTCTAAGACAGAAGGAGCAGTTTGTCTGTTCAAACAAGGTTCAACTGAAGAGCTTAATGTTGTGTCCTGGCTTTTTGACGACCTGCAAAAATATGCATGTGGATTTCAGCATGCACTATCCCCTTCAACGGCCCCTCCTGCACAAAAGCCATCGGCAGCTGACAGGATGTCCCAGAATAACAACAATACAGCTTTCAAAGCTTCTGAAGGACAAAAAGCACCATCAGACGAAGTAGCAAGCACTGTCCAAAAGCTGTGTACTTTGGTTATGCAGATGGCAAGTAAAGAGATCTCTGAAAATCTGGAAGATGCTGCCAGCAAATGTATACGCCAGGCAATTTATGCTACTAAAGATGGGAAAGCTCTTAATGCCTCTGGTTCTGTAAGTAAGGTTGCATCCAAGATGGTGAATGACGTTATGGAAAATGCTCAAGATTCCAATAAAGATAAGAAAGATGAGGGTAAAGGACTCCCCAAGAAAACATCGCTTTTTTATGGTGAGCTATGTTCCAACCAAAGCGAATCAACACCAGAAGAAGAAGGAAGATCAACACATGCCCATCTGATACATCCAAGAAAACAGTCGTCCTGCAATGATGGCACTAGTTCTTTTAACAAAGGGCTAATGGTATATGCAAACAAAAATGCTAAGGATATGACGTTTTCATTTGTGAATGCAACCAAGATACACAAAAGGCCACCACTCCCAGCCTGTGTGATTCTGAAGAGAGTGTTTCTCAAACACACAAGGGATGTCATATCAGACTTAATTGACTCCACCATGAAAAATCTGCATAATGTCACTGGAGTCCTGATGACAGACTCAGATTTTGTGACTATGGTGAAGAAAAACCTCTTCAATGCAGGAACTCAGAAGTCAACTGAGATTTTAGAAGCAATGGTATTAAGAATGTATAATGCTTTGATGTCGGATACTAAGGACAGAGGGCATAGTCTTGTATACTCCTTATTGAAAACAGGATGTTCATTAGACCCCAATTCTCCAAATATGCACTTTGCATCTTTGAAGGGTGGGGTCCATATGAGGGAAAAGGGAAAGCAAGAAGGACAGACATCAGCACAAAAAGTAGGTGAAACGATAATTAAGGATGGAATTAGCATGTTGAGATCAAGAGCAGGAGGCAAAGGTCCAGACAGGGGATGTCATGATAAGAGGCCAGAAAAAAGTAGCTCTACCACCGAGTTTCTAGCAAAAGACCTCATTTTGACAGCTTTAATGCTGATACAACAACATCTCTTAACGCAGTACAAAGAGCCCGTTTGTGAGTCAAATACGTCTTCATTTGGATTTTATGAAAAGGGAGGCAAACATGGTTCTAAATCTCATAGTTTCAGGAGTGATCCACAACAGCAAGAATACCAGAGGGGGGAAATACAAAGCGCCCTTCTATCAATCATCCAGAAGGTCCTACAAGAGGCTGGTTTCAATGTAGATGAGTGTGAAATAAGCAAGAATCCCAAGCAAAACTCGTATGAAGATAGATCTAGTCGAAAACCCCCATCCAGACAGAATGGTTCAGATGTGGATTCTGAAAATATGGAGCAAATAAACAAGAAGTTCATTGATCAGCTGATGGAATCTGTGATGAAGCTCTGTATGTACATGACTAAAAGCCCTGATTTTGTTGTTGAAGATTACTCTGACGAGCAAGGCACATACATCACAGCAAGAAACAAAGGCATGTCAACTCCAGATTCAATGTTATCCCAGAAACCTCCACGAACTAATATCGGAAAACCGCTCGTGCCGGCTGGTTCTGAGGTGATCGTAAACAACCAGAGCTCTAACACCAGCTCGCAGAACAGAGAACTCCAGGCTGTCCTCCAGTGGATGGCTGCTTCTCATTTCCAAGTGCCCAATCTCACGTTCATGAATGAGAACGATGACGAGCTGAAGAAGCTTCCACAACTGGCTGACAAAGCAGCCAAGAAAGGTGCGAGTGTGGGGGATATTTTGCAGGAGGTAATGAAGTATTTCGAGAAACAACAGGTTGATGCCGCTGTGGGAAATATGCCTCGTTGCGGACTACTTGACTGGTTGCTTGCTAATCTGTAGACAAGTAACAACACCTCCCTCTCATTGCTTCCACCCAGCAAAGTGCCATCTTAATTGTAAGATGGAAGAACACTACAGCTCATTTTCCATAGACAGCGGTTCCACAGGCTGTGACACACAAGCTGGGCAAAATCACCAATAAAAAAATACAAATGTCAACTGTTACTAATTTGTTTATTATTTTTTATGTAGATATTATAAATAAGTTACAAGAGTAAAATCCTAAAAGTATGTTTTTAATGGATTGTTATAAAAGCAGTTGGTATACTGATGGTATCATTTTTGACTTCTCTTTTGTTTAATGGGCATAGTTAACATCCTTTTACTTTAGGTCTAATTAGAGTTCCTTTTTGCTTTCTTCTTTTCATTGCTAACTCTAAGCAAATCAAAGTTGGATATTGAGATTGTACTTGCTAAATCTTTTCTTTTGATATTTCCAATTTTTACTGTGTATTAATCAAAATCAATTAAATTTTAACATCTTTATGAAAATAATTATGCTAATATATTTATTGATATTTAGTCACTCCGTTATATCAGTGCATTGTACTAAAATTAATGAAATATGGTCATTCTTACTGTTGACCTGAAACTGTTGTGCAAAGTTTCTTATATGTATTTACACGTAGGCAAACCGTCTCTCTTCCCCTCTTAACACACACACATACACACACACACACAAATATACACAGAGCTGTACTGATCTGTCTTTGTTAAAGTTTCTTTTACTTTTATTTGCCCCCTCTTTGTTGTTTCATTAATGGTCATTTTTAAAAATCCATAAAAGTAGTGCTAAAACAAATATAGAGGGATATTTTAATCCACAATACAAATTGTTATGATTTGTTTCTTCTGAAAACTTTATGTATACCTCTGCAAAATTTGCCATTTCACTCAATCATAAAATCCCTTCTATTTTTCTGATATGAGATTATTATTTATAATTAATTCAGCCAAAGTTGTGTTCATGCTTGTATAAATAACTGGATTTTACAAAACACAAGAATGCAGGGATTTTCATAGTTAGATTATTTGAACAATAAAGTTCTCTATTGCCGATTTTTATAATTTTGATTAAAGACAGAAATATATAGGAGCATGGCTCGTGTTACAGGTGATTAGCCAACACTGCTTACTGTGTCAATCTTTAAAAAAAAACAACTGAAGAAGTTTTTCACATTGGTGTAAAAGATACCCAACCTACTTGTTTTTTCACAACTCTTGAACTTGAAGGGGGCTACTCTGAAAGATTATATCATACTGTATACAGTCTATCTCATTACTGTCTAAATGCATGTTTTATATGCTCAAAAGATGAATTAAAGAAGGCTTAAGAATCTGAACATTAATGATTGCCCTTAGTTCTTTTTTCACTTACAACACAACACAACACCACTGTAACTTTAAATTTTATACCAGAAAAATATGCTAAAGAAAGTTTGAATATTCAGCTGACAGTATTAAACAATGGACATTTTTAGAAAGTAATACTGTAGCAGAATACAGGTATGTTTCTTAGGATCACAGTCTCTGCATAAATGCATTTATTAACTGGGTGCTTAAAAAATTAATGTTAAAAGTTAAAGCAAGTATTCTGCCTAATAATTGGTGCATTGTTTTCCAAGTCGTTTTTCTCCCTAAATATGAACTAGCTAAGTATGACCACATGCATCAGTTCTTTGAGGGTGATCATCCTACCTTCCATGTTAAAAGAAAAAAATATATTTCCTAGAAAATACAAATACACAATCTTTACACTATAAAATTTTGCTTATAGATCAAAAAAGAATGTGCATCTAGAAACTGTCTGAAGATGTTATATGTGTGTTTGCAAGAGTCTGTTGTCCCCTTAGCATTTAGAACCTCTGGCTTTTTGTGAGGGATTGCACGCACAAAAGCACTAATACAATAACATTTTGACAAAAAACAATGCATATGAACACAAAGAGTAATGTCGCATCCCAGCTGTTTGCAATGGTTCTGGGCTACAGGTAGACACACACACACTCCCACAATCCATGCAGCCTCACCTGAGTAGCTGCAGACTGACAGGGAAACGAAGATGATGACGACACAACAGGAATGTCAGACTGGACAGCCGCCACAGTGGTAGCAGGCGTAAAAATCAGCTGTGAAGGCAGGAAAAAGAAAATTGAAAGCCACACAAAGCACATATATAGCTAGTCCTCGACTTACAACAGTTCATTTAGCGACCATTCAAAGGTACAACGGCACTGAAAAAAAGTGACTTGTGATCATTTTTCACACTTATGACCACTGCAGCATCTCTGTGGCCACGTGATCAAAATTCGGATACTTGGCAACTGACTCACATTTATGATGGCTGCAGAGTCTCGGCATCGTGTGATCACCTTTGCCACCTTCTGACAAGCAAAGTCAAAGGGAAAGGCAGATTCACTCAACAACGGTTTTACTAACTTAACAATTGCAGTGATTCGCTTAACAACTGTGGCAAGAAAGGTCGTAAAAGAGGGCAAAGCTCACCTAACCAATGTTTCACTTAGCAACAGAAAATTTGGGCTCAATTCTCATCGTAAGTCCAGAACTACCTGTCGTCTGAAAACAAAGTGGTGTGTCTTTTCTTTTAGTACAAGACCTATAAATATTTATTCTAATATCTTAGGAAGCACCCTCAGACTTTTTGAGTCGCTTAGTTATTTCATCTCTTTGAACAAGAATGTCTGCAGCCTGAGGCTTCCCCCAAAATAACATAATTGCATGCTGTTCTTCATTGGTATTTGAAAGTTACTAAAAAGAAAACTGTCAAATAGCCGTAAACACCTGGCCAACCTTGGCTGATCTCAGGAGTAGGCACTTGGTTGAGACACCACTAGGAAATATCAGAGTTGAGAACTAGGGTGGGAAATCAAAGAAATCTCCCAAAAAAAGACAAATCATTTCCATATTATTATCAGGAAAACAATATGGAAATTGCTTCGTCCCTGAGATTTTTCATTAAGTCGTAATTTATTTTCCTCATTTAAGTTGAGGCTAAATCCTCCACCAAACCACCAAATATCAATTTGATTAAAGGTATCTAGCATTTGATCTTAGCCTAGATTTTTATCTACCTCAACACTTAAATTCAAAACCTAGCTACGGCCAAATGTGTTAATGCAACAAATATCTACATTTTAAAAGTGTGAACAGTAGCTGTAGCAAGGGATAAAGGAAGCCATATTAAAACTTAGAAAAATGAAAATTGTTTCATTGTGCTGGGGGGAAAAAAGTCCTCAACAAGTTGCTGTTTGCATCAGAAAATCAGAGCTGCAGGGGAATGTCTACTTCTTGGCACCTTAGGCCTCTAGCTAAACAGCACAAACCAAAACTTATAAAAAGAGGCAAAGATGCTTCTTCTATACCTATCCAAGACATTGCTAACAGGAATAGTATTATTCCTGTAATAATAGGAATAATAGCACCTCTCCAAACATGTCAAGTATAAAAGACCATAAACTTACGAGATGCCACTGTTTGGAGTCAAAGACTATTTATTTATAAAATTTATAGGCTGCCCATCTTACCTCAAGGTAACTCTGGGCAACTTATAATCATAAAAAAATCAAACTATATAAGTTAAAAAACATAAATAAGTTAATGCAAAAATCCAAACCACTACGGCCAATTAAAAGATGGGGAGGGCGAGAGTAGGATGGGGAAGGAGGTGGGATCCATTGTTAATCAACCACCTCCAGTGTGATACTCCCCAACTGGAATCCCAAGCTAACTGGAGAGCCAGTAGGATGTTCCATTAAGGTCAGAGGGTTGGGGCCGACCTCACACCTGGGGTCAAGACATTCCACAGAGGAGATGCAGGGCATCTCCTGGATCCTGCCAGTCGGAATAGTCAGGCTGATAAGGGCTCGGAGTATGTCTCCTCGGCTGGCACGGGTGAGGCGGGCCAATCCCAGTTGGATGAGACAGTCCCTCAAGTAGCTGGACACACAAGACGATTACCAGCACCTTGAATTGCACCTGGAAGCAAACCTGCAGCCGGTGAAACTCGTGCAGCAGTGATGTTACATGGGCCATTCTTGGGACCCTAAGAACTGCCTGTGCAGCAAGTACCCTGCCCTGCCCCAGCTATAGCCTCCGGATGTTCTTCAAGGGTAGCCCCGTATAGAGTGCAAGGGCACTTACAACATGCAGCCAAAAGCCATACACAGAGACAGGACAAGACAAAAATTATTATTATTATTATTATTATTATTATTATTATTATTATTATTATTATTATTATTATTATTATTATTATTACTTTAATTTATACCCCGCCCTTCTCCCGAGGGACTCAGGGCGGCTTACAGGTAAGTAAAAACAGAGCTATACAATAAATATCTAAAAGCCAAATTAAAATATATATTAAATAACCTGTATTAGAAAAATTATAAAATCCCTTTAAAATCCCTATAAAATCCCCCCCTAGGCCAATCCCGCTTGATGGAAAAGCCATGTCTTGAGGGCACGGCGGAAGGAGGGGAGATCCGGAATAATCCGGATCTCTGGGGGAAGTTCGTTCCACAGGGTGGGGGCTCCCACAGAGAAGGCCCTCAAAATGGTGACATTAAATTGGCAAGACTTACCATCTGAGCTCGGAGATACATCTGAGCCTGACTGGCAGTTAGATTAGGAGAAGTGCCCCCTAACAGCATGGTCTGCTGCGTAAGACTGCTGCTACTAGTGTTGGAGGTCTGTGAACGGCTTATTAGCTGTGCAGGTGTAGGAGAAGCAGAAAGATTAATCTAGAGAAAAAAAAAAAATGATCATTAACTATCTTTATCTCACTTATCTAAAAACAGCTACACCCAACGATTCTTTTCAATGGTCAATTCCACTGAAAACATGAGAACAGGTGCCTAAGTAACATTCACATTATGCAATGAAATAATATTTTTGTTTATGCTCTGTAGGACAGAGTTTGGGTGTGATAAAATGCTAAGTCTCAGCTTTCAAAACTATATTTTAGCCTGAAGTCTTTCCTCATCAAAAAGATTACTGGACACAGTCTTACACGTTAACATTTGCTAACAAATAATAAGAGAATTTTCCAAGCTTAAACATGGGAATTAAACGGCCATATGTCTTTTTGCAAGTTTTGCCCCCTTTTTTAGTCAGCTATTTAATCTGAAGCTAGAACTGTTCTTCAGTTCTAAACTTGAAAGACTCTGGGTGCAATAAAAGTCCAACAACTTTTGGTAAATTGTAAATGTCACTTAGTCTTCAACACTGCCACTGTAACACTGAAAGGGTTGCCTAAATAAGCTAATATAAAGTTGGCAGGTTCTCAGCAACTGAAGTCAACACTCTTAGTGGATTCTTTTCCCCCACGTTCCTATTGCTCTTGTAAATTCTTTCTCCAAAAAATCTAGCAAATCCAATATATGTCTTCCCCAAAGGTGTGAGCCTCTTTTATTCTTGCATTTAGAGTGAATTCAACCAGGCCATTTGTTCAAAACAAAATAATGTTTAAAGATCTGTATTACTATTTACAGTATAAAGGCACTGAGACTTTAATAGGTCAAGAATTCCAGTTTTTGCTCCTCAAACGTTTTCATAAACAATGTGAATGTAGAGAATAAACATGGAACCTTAATAGTTTAAGAGAAATATTTTTGCTAGACACTTACCGAGGTTTCTGACATGCTGGACTGCTGTGTGACACTGCCATTAGGAGAAGCACACTGCCTCCCACCTGAAAGATTTGCCTAAACAGCAAGCACATCTATCAAATGAGTTATTTGCATTGTAGGAAAAGGTGCTTGACTAACAAGAGTGTACTCACATTAAACTCAATGGCAGCCCAAAAGCCACAATTCCCATAATCACTTTTATTTGTGGCCTCCATTCTCTTTAATTCCAGTCAACTTGCTATCTCTTTTGAAAGCTCAGTTAAAGAGTCAGATGTTACCCTGAACTAACACTCCATCCACCCAGGAAAAGAATTCCATAGTGATTTCCTTCAACCAACCAGGTGATGTTGCTGCAATGGTGAGAACAATTTTTGTCCCCTCTCTTATTTTTTTTCCCCTTTGCTTGGACCTTAAGGGTAGAAATGAAGCAGTAAATCTCTGGGTGGTAAACTGCTTCCATTTGCAAAATTCCCAACCAGGAAAAATGGTCTGAAATCATGTTACTGAAGCTCAGCAGCAAAAACATTTTTGTTTGATGCACTGTTAACTGCCCCTGAGTAATGCTGGGAAATGGAAAAATGGGATTATATTTTCCAAATAAATAAAAATCAAGGAGCTCTAACTTTTTATTGTAATTTGATACGCCACTTTCATTTTTTTTGGTTTAATATTGTTGGATGCTTACAAATCTTTGTAAATGCAATTATTATAGAAAGATACTAAGCAAAAAATGATATCAGAGTACATTCTCTGATGTGAAAAGAGAGAAATGAAATCCACTTGTAAATAACACAAGGGATTAAAATAATCAGATATTCACAATTAATGACTTTGAATGGTTACATTGTTTCAAAATGGAAGTCAGATTGGCTCAGTCTCCAGTCTCAGGCTTCTGTTCCTTGATAATAAATTATTTCATTATTATTATTATATCAACAGAC